CGGTGTGGGTGGGGCTGTTCACTAACCAGGGGTGTTAAGTGCTGGAGGAAGATAGCATCAGTTAAACTCTGGTGTTTTTATTGGGGTCGGCCCTCTAAAAAGTAACATGAGGTTGTCTCAGCTAGTGTAGGAGGACTGCAAGGGTGAGGGAAACCGAACAAGAAGTGAGCCGACTTCCTTCACAGCTGAAGCCGAGCGTGGTCATCTCAACAAGCAGAACTCATGAGCATGCCTTGTCCTCATTGAGAAGTAGGAAATAATAAAAAAAAAGAAGTTGCAGATTTTAGATCTTTTATCCCTCGAGCAGCTCAGCGTGTTTGTACGGTCATGGAGTACATGATGTGCTTAGGATGTTTTTATTCTGTTGGCCAAACGTGCCATTTCTATGACTGTGATATTAACAGCGTCGTTAGAGATGTGCTGTTGTCAGAGCTTGACCTTGCAGATGTTTTAAATGTTGGAACTCGAAACATGCTAATCTCAGAAATGTCTTATAAGGACATTAGTACTAAAAATCATTATTTCCTGTTCTTCGTATACTTTAATCTGGTAAGTTTAAAGCACAACCAGGGTTTATTATCCCCTTAGCAAAACCACATGCCTCCTATGTCCAAGATAACCCTTGCAACAACACACAGATAAACATGCTGTTGATTAGCTGTTGATTAGCTATGCCTCTCAAGAGTTTAATGGCTTGCTGCTTGCGTACTGTGATTGCTGAAAGCCCTGGTACAGGCAGCGGGAGGAACCAGAGCTATATCATAACAGTGTAAAGTTAACACAGAAGTTTCTACTCATGCTGCTCAGTGTAATGTTATTTTCCACTTAAAGAAGTGAATGAAACTCCTTTCTCCTAAAGGGTCACCATTATGGAGAAGGGATTTTCTTAAAAGGCTGCGGAAGGATGTTTAAGGTTGGTTTGCGACTGTTGTGATTCTTGTGTATGTGCAGGTCAAGCCCAGCATGTACAAGCTGCATGAGTTGAGGTTGGCGTATGCTAAATGGTGTTTGCTGTCGCCAAACGTGGCTTTCTCAGCCCTGAAGACAGGCTGACCCTGTTTATCCTATGCCATCTATTGGGTCCTGCAAACACATGCTTAAAGACGAATTGCAGAGAAGAGGAAATACAGACACCTTTGGGTTTGATGTTTATCTGTTAACTTCACAGAACCTGCCAAAAAAGCCATCCATTGGCTTTTTTACGTCTCTATCAGCCAGGATTGGATTTTAAACAAGGCGTTGGTTTGTTCACGTCTTATGCTACAAGATGTAAACCCCTGCTACTCCAACTAATGCCCGTGAAAGGTTTCCATACCATGTCCCATCTGTGTTCATGAGCAGATCTGTCACTGCAGGTAACCAAAGTTACTGAGATGCAGGAGCTACTCCTAGAGACACTCTTGGCCCTTTAATATTGTAAAGTCAAATTGAAAATATCGAAGGGCTGAGAGTCCGTAGCTTTAGCCTAAACTTGTAATTGGGGTGGACCGCAAACGTGCGTGCAATTACACAGTTCTGCTATCCAGCCGAACCTTGCCAGAGTCCTGTTGCTCAATGGCTTGAATTTTCTTAATTTTGTTTGGTTTAGCTTAAATCTCTTCCTAATTAATTTAAAGCTGACATAAGCCTGATTTTTTTAGCTCAAAAAACCCCCCAAGTCTGCATGCCTTTTTCTCTGGCATAATTAAATTCTTTTTAAAATCACACTGTAATTAAATTGATAAAGTTGTGCATATCTTCTGTTCTTTCCAGGGCTGCCCAGCATATGCTTTCGAGGAATACTCGCCCTCTTTAAGGTGATAAACAAGTGCTTGCTAGTGGTCACTTACTGGTCTCTCACTGCCCTTCTCCAAATTTCTTGAGCCTGCAAGGAGTAGTTTTCTTCTAGTTCTTATCTCAGAGTCAGCTGGATCTTGCATAGCCCCCAGCGCAGCCACTTAAATGAGCTGGAGCTGTAATGTACTCCTGTGCTCGCTATGAACTGCTGTGCCATGTAAGGGAATTAATATTCCCAGCTGCTTTGCAGAACTTATCTTGCTTGCAGGCTGGTGAGAAGTGGTCCCAAAATAGCCGCGATTAATCACAGGAAATTTGTGTTGTTCAGTTTTCTTCCAGATAACTGTTTACTACAACAGATGTTACAGGAATAAAATGGTGAAAAAGACCAGGGATGGATAGTTGGGAGCTGAAGGTCAAATTTCTGGGCGTCTTGCAAGCTCCATCCCTTGCATGAGTATGGTGGCCAGAGCTGGAAATGATCCTGTTAAAAAGGAACCATCCTGAATTCTTACTTAAATCTGGGTTTGGTTGACTGCAGTGTGCCGTAGGGCTGCTGCTGGTGCTCTGGCTGTTCCTGTACCCCGGGGCTTGATCCTCTCATCCCCTTCGCTTGTCCGAACAACTCTTGGTTTGCTGGATGGATGCAGAGTTGGTGTGTCCGGTTCAGACCTTGGAGGGAGGTGGAAATACCTTGGTTTCCCCCTATTAGATGATAGTGGGCATGGAGTGATGGAGAAAGGATGGAGGAGAAAGGGTCAGAAGGAGATACGGGAAAAGAAAGCAGTTCATGTATGATGTACAGCAAAAGAAGACACGCTGGAGCAATGAATAACACTGTTTTAGCACTGAAATGACATCTAAAAGGCAAATAAAATCAAATTCCCTCTTCTTAGAATTTGTAATAATGAATTAATGAATGAGCATGTGTTTGCCAGAGCCTGGGACAAGGCAGCAGTTGGCGGGAGAAGGGCTGAGCAGTGCCTTGGCCGTCTGAGGTGCAGGAATAACAGGATACTCCATCGTGAAGACCTGCAGAAAGTGGTTCCCTAACTATAAGGATTTACAATATGAACTGTGGGCAAGGACTTGCCACAATGCCTGGCCTGTCCCTCCTTGTCCACCCCAGGAGTTTGTTGTAGCACCACAGCTACGTACAAGAGCAGTGGCTGCTTTCTTTATCCTAAAGCCCTTTAACTATCAGAGCTTAAAAAGAAAGTGGCCATAACTCAGGAAAGTAAATACTTGTTAGCAATGGCAGAACTTCAAGCAGTTACAGAAGAAAAGTATAAAAACTAGAAACTGCAATATTGTGCTTCACCTGAGGTCAGTCTCTTGTTTTCCTGAGGCTTTCAGTGGGGCATCTGTTTGCTGTAGAAACCCAAGATGACATGGCAGTGTCTGGTCTGATCTAGATTAACACCAAATTTTAATTTTTTTTTTTTTTTAAATAATAAAGAGAAAGGAGTAAGGCAAATGTCTCTGTAACATGAATTTATTTCTTCCAGTGGTTTTCAATTAGCTTCTTCATAGGGGCTTCTCTGTTCCTCTTAGCAGAGCCAAAAGGTCCTGTAAGAAAATGAAGAAGCTCAAGTCAGTGCCTGCCCGGTCACTTGGCTTTACCTGGTGCTTTGGAGTGCTCAGAGACAACCAGTAATGTGTAATGGATTCATTTGGTGTTGGAAAATAATTTGGGAGTTGAATGTATTTTAAGCTGAAAGAACTTTGTTGTGTTATTATTTACTTAGTTCTCATCACTTTTATTCATAGTTAAACACGACACTCCATCACACGAAGCACTGCAGTGCTCAGTGAAGCCCGAGTGCAAGCGAGAGGTGTAAAATGTCAGTATGTAAATGAAAGTAGGGGTGTTCAGGGGGTCTCTGGGTTGACTGCTTGTAGCCCCAGTGTGGGAATAATTTTTTTTTTAGTTAGTTAGAGCCAAAGAAGCCCTTCTTGAAGGCTTCTTGTCTGTGGTCAGTCTGCAAAACAGTCAGTTGTATTTTGGCTATTGATTTCCTACTTATCCTGTAGAAACTTGGTATTTGCAGGAAAGTATTTGAATCAGAGAGAGAGCAAAATCCTGATCTGTTCTGTGAGTTCAGTTTTGTGGTTATGTTCATGAAGGCGTCCTGAGTTGCAGTTGAGGTGCAATGGTTGGATCTGATTTAATTTGCCCCTAAATTTCAGAATGATTAGGATTTGGTGGGTTTTTGCCTTTTGTTTTGCATGCAGCTCTGTGAAAATCTTGAATTAAAAAAATTCTGAGGGCTCCTAGTCAGGAGACTAAACCCGGGAAGCAGGAACTGACCTGGATGGTGGAAAGGCAACCGGGAAGGTCTAGCAGTGAAGCAGCTTTCCATAGTCATCTGAAAAGGAAAAACACAAAGTCCCATGGCTGGACGGCAGTGAAAACAACATGTATTTTTTGCTCAGGGGCTGTGCAGTCATGGTAAATACACTGCTGCTTAGGAGGGCTGAGCAGTGAAATACGCAGAGATGATGTTTAAGGTGCAGCCTCAAGACGACAACTTTGCTCTCGGTTTGAATTTGGTTCCATTTTATGTGGTTCTCAGACCACAGAAAGAGAGCTATTGTTGTGGAAAAATGAGGTGGTTATTCATCAGAGTTTAAAAAAACAAAACAAAACTTGTTCAAACTCATACTCCTCTACTTTCTGGGGCTGTTTTTTTCATGAAACAAGGTATGGCACCGTGAATTGACTTTGAGATGTTTTAGATGTAGAACCCACTCTGCCAGTTGTCTCACCTTGATATTGCTTTCCCCTGTCCAAGGCTGAGCTTTATTTGCTTCTTTTCCCCCTAGGTTTTTTGATTGCAAGCGAGCCCAGCTTGTGTGTGCATGAGGGGGAGAAGCGGGATGGGGAAAGTGCTTTTTTACCAATTAGAATGTTGTCGGTTCCCCCCCCACTTTCTTGATTAACAAAGCTGCTCTCTTTAAAATCTTGGCCTGGATGTGGCAGTGAATGAGGTTTAATGCAATTGCCTTGTTTGAAGAAACTTGGACTAGAGGCAGCAGAGCGAGAAGTTTGTTTATGGTTTGTCTTCTGCTGTGGTGGTGATGAGGGATGTCGTTGAGCCGGCCTGTGAGCGTGTAGAGCTGATGAGGATGTGTTAAAGGATAACTCACTGTCATGGGACTGCAGCTCATCCTGTTTCTTGGGATCTGGGAAGGAGAGCAGGCGGAGTTTTGTGTCAATCACCATGATGGAGATTGAGCCTCAGGGTGACACTAGCCCTTCTGCTAGAAAGGTTGGGTGGTGGTTGAGCACCAGAATCCCCTTCGTGGGAGACTTAAGAGTGGTTTTGACTTCCAAGAGGCTCATAGTAAGAGCAACAAGGAAAAGCACGTTTATGTAAATGCATTTTAGAGAGCTCATGGTAATGCAAAAAGAAACCACAGCCGATGAGTTGGGTCTTGTTGCCTGCCTTGGGGGAGGGAGGATGGACTCGAGCTCGAGTCTCCCTGCCTGGTCTCTTTGTGCATCCCTGATGGTCAGAGACGTTCCTGAGAACTGGCTTCTGCCTTGTGTTTCAGCCTAGGGAAGAAGTACATCTGCCTTCCCGTTGTCCTTTCTTTGAAGTAGCAGTAGCAAGAGGATAATTTCTTTATTTTTTTAAACGTGGGGATGAAAGAAGCAAGTACTGAAATAGTCCTGTCTGCCGGCAGACAAGCAGTTGGCCCTAGGTGACCTTGCACCATGAAGTGCCTTATGGTATCTGAGGAAAGGACGCTTTGGCCATCATCTCCTAGCAAGTCCATAGCACAGTGTCTGCTACTTGTCCGTGTTAATTTTCCTGGTTCCTAGCCTAGTCTGTATATTCAGACTCTTTTTTTTCCAGGAAGAAGGCTAGAAGGTTAAGCAATTTTGCTTCTCGAAGAAAGACTTCAGAAAGCCCCAAGACTTTTTCATACAGATCTTTTAAGTTTCATGAGGCTGGAAAACCACTTCTTCCTTTACTGGGTTGCAGCATTTCTGGTTGGTTTTGTGTGTGTGTGTGTACTTAAAGATGTGAATGTTGGCCATAAGTATTTGGGAGAATGGTCAGCAGCTCTGCATGGTATAAGCAGCTTTTTTATTTTTACGTTTTTTGCTCTGGACCTTACTGTGCAACTCCATGGGAGCCTGAGTGAGGGCTGTTCTCCTGAGCCTGCTCAAATGATCCGGCCCTTGCCCTGGGGCTTGTCTGACCGCGGAAGGAACGGATTCAGGCAACACCACCGCCTGAAAACGAATCCCTCATTTCAGGAGTAGACTTTTGGCACTCTTACCTCCCCAATCAGCCGGTTGCAGCATTGGGTGAGTGTCAGCGCTGGCACAGGGCAGGAGAGGAGGAGGAGGAGGGAGTGTGGGAACGGGATTGCGGCAGGGTGGGTTTGAGCTGTTGAAACGTGTCCTTAGCTGGGCGTCACTGAGGTTGCACCAGGCAAGGATCAGAGCAGGAGACCAGCACTGAGCCCAATGAACGACGACCCTGGGCTATGAGATCAGCTTCCCAAGAGCCTCTGCAGCTCTGCAAATTTAAATCTCTACTTCTAAAATAACATTTACATCATGCACATTTGAACTTATAGTCTCATTCCCCCTTCCTTGTCCTTGTACTGTCATTTACACCTTTGTAAAGTGGGCATAAAATACTGATGTTCTATTTAATTCCATTTAACATTGTTTTTCTCACCGTGAAATGCATATCACAACGGTGAAGGCAGTGAAGTCGAGACCACTTAAACTTAAAAATCCCCTCCTTTTGTGCTTGTTTAAACCATGTACTTACAACTGCTCTGAATTCTCTTATTGCTGTTCAGAAGGATGGGCAGTGGGAGAGGGACGACGGTACGTGGGAGCGCTCAGGATAATGTGACAAGGGACCAAGTGAGTCATGCGTTAGTCATGTCACTCCCTGCACCACTGGCAAGCATCGGGCACTAGTGATGTGGAGGGCAGTGGCATCTGCAGAGATCTTTATGTTGAAAATAAAAGCAAGGCAGCAAAATGTCAAGCTCGCAAAAGCTAGAAAGTACCAGAATTAGTGTTAATTAAATCAATGCTAATTAAAAACCACTGGGCTTTTTTTCTGAAGTTATGTGAAGCTGTTTCGTTTAGTTGTGGGTTTTTCTTTTTTTAGTGCAGAACATGGAAAAATAACAGCAGAGAGTTTTGTAAGCAGCTGAGAACGGGGTGTTGCAACGTGAGGTGGTGGACAGCAGTATTGCTGGAAACTGCCATTAGAGAGGGATTTCTGCCTGAATAAGTAGGCAGTATTACTGGTATTTCTCTATGTTCGATGGATTCAGCAGAGAAGAACCAGCATGTTTCATAAAATTATGCCAGGCTGTGATTAAATGCCATTCTTGCTGCTTTATCCATATTCCAGTCCTTTATTTATAGCATGCTTCTGCATTACAAACGCAAAAAGAGATTTGCCTGCACGTGGCTGGAGAGTACCCAGGGCAAAGGGGTCCCAATATTCAAGAGCACCTGGAGGTCCGTGACCTGTATCCTTTCCGCATCCGCGATGGGCTGCAAATTCCTGGTGCAAATTCTGCTGGGGAGAAGCCGTGGGGGAGAGAGCAGCCGCTGGACCGGGCTGCCCCGTGTCCGTTTGGCCTTGCCGATGTCCAGACGAGAGTGTAGGCTGCACTAAGGCAGCTCTGGCACTCAGCCTACATCTGCATCCAGATGAAAGAATCCAGACTGCTGTTTGAGTCACCAGGACATGTATCCTGAGTGCTCTTAATATATCAATATTTCGTGGTCCGGTGCTTTGGGCTTGCCTAAATTCAATTTTTTTTTTTTTTTTTTTCTTTTTCTTTTTTAAATACTGAGTCAAAACGGCTCTCCTTTCCTTTGGAGCCGCCCATGATTTTTCCAGCCTATTTCGCAGACACCTTCCCCTTTCTTTCAAACTCTGTTCCCAGTTCTCTGGATCCCTTTCTGGTCCTTCAGACAGTTTTGCTGCTCCTGACGAAGGTGTCTTCACCAGCTTTAGCACAGCATTATCCCTATGCATGCACATCTAGATTGGATTTTTCCAAACGTGCAGCTAAGAACAAACCCAAACCATAAAGTTATGGTTTCTTTTACATATGTTAAGGTTCACAGTCCATCTTCTGCTCTGTGTTTGTGTAGGGACTGGCACAATGAAACCCAGCCCTAGTTTAGTGCCTGGACAATTCTGCAATAAATGTAAGACATAAAACTGCGTTTGTACTTAGTTTCATCTTTTACCTTTCTTCTTCTTCCACCAAGGAGAAAACTCTTTTTAGAGCATTTGAAAATAGAATTTTACATACCTTTTTCTCCAGCAGTGTATGGGTGCAGAAGTTTCTTCACACTAGTCTCTCCCTAAAATCAGGGATACTGTGGTGTTGCTGGTGCCACGAGATGGGTGCTAGTGGGAATGAGGACAAGCAGCGTAGGGACGGTGTTAAAAGACATTGCAGGGTGGGAATTCCTTCGACAGCATCACTCGGTGTGGGAGGTGTGGAGCAGCGCTGTTGGGTTTTTGTGGCCTGAGAGATCTCCCAGGAGTCCCATAGGGAGGGTTAAGCAGGCAATATGTCTTCTTTGGGGAAAAAGTAAAGGGTGTTTTAGCAGCTTAATAATATCCCTTTATTAAAGCATCTATATTGGTATCCTGTTAAGAGCAACGCTGCTATTAGCAGGGTCCAAGTCCTCATCTTTTCCTTTCAGACTTTCTATCACAAATTACCAGCGAATAGCTTCTGTATTATTTCTTTTTAGTTGCTACTTAGTTCTGCGGAGGAAATAAAACCTTTCTCTGCAGCAGATGAAAGGTAATTTCTAACTGAACACATTTTGTTTTTTTTTTTTTTCCTGTCTTTCAGACTTCATTTTATGGCAGATTCAGGCACTTCTTGGACATCATTGATCCGCGCACTCTCTTTGTTACTGAGGTAATGTATATGCGCCTTGTTTTTTGAAAGTACTGTTTATTAGACAGGTTTCGATTTAAAAACAATTTCTTCTGTGAACGGCAGAAGTAATGAAGCCAGGTTTCCAGTGGATTTGTGTCTCACGGTTGATTGATTGCCCTCTGAGCTCTGTTAAATCTGTAGCAGAAACTTACTCTTTATTAGACATCAGTGAATCCACACCTGTCAGTCTCCCCTCTCCCTCTAGTAACTGGTGAGACCCTGAACTGGTTTCAGTCAAACTTGCCAGTGATGCCTTCTTCTCAGAAGAAAAATTCCTGCAAGAAAAAAAATGCAAGCGAGTAGATGAGAGAGCAAGTATCAATGCTTTGTGGAGGAAATGAGCTGCAGTATGAGCGGGGTGGGCTCGCACTGCAGTTTTTCGGTGGCTGCACTCCAGAAGACCTTTTCTGAGCAAGGTGTTGTAGTTTTTCCGTAGTTATTACCCTGTTTGTAACAGACTTTTGGGTTTCTGCCCCATTTAGTTTCATTTAGTGTTGTCCAGCATTACTGCATTTCCCTGCTTTCATAAAATACTGAGCTAATAGTTGTGGGGAATCTTTTAGGAGAAATATTTCTACTGGTGATCTTAAATTCTGCCTGTTGGCCAGAAAACTTAGGATTTTGCTTTCAGTCAAGGGCAGCTGCCTTTTTCCTTTTTCTTTTTTCTTTTCTCTTTTTAATGTTGTTGTTTTTTTTTTTTTGGAGGTGGAGTAGCGTAAGATGACAATATATGTGCAAACAATTCTGAAAACACAGGGAGCTGAACTGCTTACTGTAGCTAGTGGTGAACTGAGTCCAGTTCCTTACACACTGCGGTGGCAGGGGGAAAAAAGACCTGATGCAACTTTAAATAATCTTTTCCTTCTAAATCAACTAGCTTTTTTCAAAAACATAAGGCTAAGATGTACCGTGTCATTAATTTTGAGTACCTTTTGGATGTATGCCCAAGAGAGCCGCAAACAATAAAGCAGCTGTTCTTACACCATCACATTGAAGATTATGCTTTGCCTTGTAAAAGCACAGGTTCAGATCAAGTCTGAGATCAATTTTCAAAAGCCACCAACCTTGATATGGAGCTCAGCCTGGAGAGGTAACCTGCTAGCAAAAGAATGTCACAATTCCAAAGAGACTATTAGCCATCATTGTGTCATGATAAAAGGGAATGAAAATCACAACATTACCTGAGGATGCAGTGCACTTTGTAGATGCTATTTAAAGAGGATATAAGCACGTATGCTGGAATAAAAATGATACTAAGCATTAAAGTCTTGGTTCTGCTCTTACCTTAGCAGAGATTTAGAGTTAAGTGCAACGCAGTGCGTATTGAAGGAGTGTTTGACAGTGGGGGAAATCCTTCAGTGTGCGTTTGCGGTGATGCAGAGGCTGTTGTATGTAGTTTGTGAGCTCTCTTTATATATTTTTGTAATTTTGATTCTGAAATTCATAAATGGATGCAAAGGGCCTTCACTATGTAATGATAATTTTTGGAGGGAAGGAGAGGGTGCTTTGCATGCGAAAGGGAATGGGATGTTGGAGAAGGGAGACTGTCTTTGGCCATTTTTGTCATGCACTGAGAATCATAGAATCATAGAATCATTAAGGTTGGAAAAGACCTCTAAGATCATCAAGTCCAACCGTTAACCCAACACCATCAGGCCCACTAAACCATGTCCCTAAGCGCCTCATCCACACGTCTTTTAAATACTAATTAAACACCTAAAGAGGAAACTGAGGCTCAGAAATATATGGATCCAGACAAACATTGAAACACCCCTTTCTCATCAGGCTAATTTGTACTAGTAAGCTTTGCAGAGTTGGTATTTGGTAGGTTTCCATAAGTGTGTGCTTTCCAGCCTACTGCTCTGGGGCGTGATGCAGGGGTCAGGATGTCCTTGGGATATTTGAGGGTGAACACCGGTCCTGGGCTCCAGGCAGCTGCACCAGGAGGTCCTGAGTTGAGGTCACTTGGAAGAGAACTTCTTCTGGTAGGACAGAAGACACAGGTGATTCTGCTCATCTTTTTGGTGGATTTTGTTATGCCTCAGCTTGTTTTGTTTTCCCCATTTTGGAGGAAAGTTCTGTTGGGTGGAGATCATCCTTCCAGTTCTGTTTAGTTAAAATTTCTCTTCCTTTGGGAATGTTTCCATGTTCTAATAATAATCCTCACCTTTCTCAAATCTCCATTTAAGCCTATAGCGTGTGTATTATATAGTTTATTTTTTTTAAGCTGGGTAACCCACTGTGCATAATGCAAGACCGAACTATTGGTTATTACAATGGTGTTAATACAGAAAAAAGACAGAATTCTCAAACCTACTTCTTGTGTATCTCCCAAGTGGGGGGATACGAGTGAACTTGATTGAGTTAGTGATTCTACTTTTTGCGGTTACAAAACAGGTTTAAGGAGAATGACTGTGTTCACATTTGGGATGGGGTAAGCACTTTCACACTACGGTTATGGTAGTATAATGAAACAATTTAAATTGAGCATTATAACTCAGTCTGGTTTCACTGTGCACCCAAAACCTGTAATTCTGTCTACCCATTTTGTTACCTCCAGCAACAAGCAGTTCTGGTTCCAGAACAGGTATTTTAGGTTCCTGAAAGGCTCACTTTTCCCCTCCTTTGTGAATTTCTTACTTTTTTTAAGGGCTGAATCTCTTCTGCCTTTGAGGGCAATTATCTTGCTTGTCATGTTCCATTGAATATAGAAGGTGTCTAGACTCTTGGGTAAGCTGTCTGAGAGTTGGGTACCTGCTCTGAACTTTGAGATGATCCCTCCTGTGGCTCAGCATGCTTTTCTACCTTCCTGTTGTCCCCTGTTCAAATTCTTAGAAGTTTCTTGAAGAGGTTGGTAAGGTTGGGGGTACAGAGTGGTCAGCTGGTGTTAACTTAGTTTTTCCGACACCTTTTGGCGAGGTTTTTCTAAGAAGGTGAGACCTAGGGAGAAAAGAACAGAATCAGAGTGGCCCATTTTTAAACTGGAGACAGCTGTTAAGATCTAAGTGCCTCAAGCAATTCTGGACCCCAAACTGAACCTCAACAAACGAGGGAGATTTGGTGTCCTTCAATGGGGTCTAATAAGCTTAGGTCTGAACTTCATGGTCTTCAGGAATGGCTTGGTGGCTGTCCAAGGAAGGCAATGCCCTCTGTCCATTTTCTTTAGGAGTTTGAATTATATGGTAGCGATGCTTCAGTAGACCTGCTGTGCGTTTCATGAAGTCTACATGAGCTCTCTTTTCCTAGAGAAGTCTCTTGGCAAAACAGGTATGAACACCTGGGGTCATGGGAAGCACTTCTCAGAGCACAAAAGCTGCTTTGTTGATTGACCTACTTGCCGCGCTCTGTCTATCTGATCTTGTGCTTTAAAATACGTTGTATATACGTGTAACTAAAGGCTGTTTGGTTTCATTTGATAATTTAGGTGATAAATTAAGATCTAGAAAGGGTTTGATGAGAAAGCAGCCGTTTACGGAGAGCTCCTTCCCCCTGACAGATGGCTGCATCTTTCAGGCCCGGGGTTCTCGGGGAACAAATAAATTGTTGTTTGTCTTGGAGGAGCTCTCTAGCAAATGAAAAAAAAAAAAAGTAGATAAATGAGTCTGTAATGAGAATGGAGGTTAATCCCATGGAAGATGCTGGGAAATGTAATAATATTTTTCTTCTTCTACATCCTTTTTTTAATTCCTGTGTGTTACATCATTGCATCCTACTGGTGGCTGTGTTTTGAGGAAGGATGAAGTGATCCCTCTGAGTGGGGGAAACCAAGCACAGTGATATCGAGTATAATTATTCTCAGTGACAGTCCTCTCTTACTCATTTGTTTTTTCAGTAAAGCAAATTCTTAACACAATTAAAAACTTCCTTGTCTTTTAGAGGTTCTTAAGCTTTAATCCTCAAGGGATGCATACTGAGTACTGGATTATGTTGTAGCCATACCTTGCAGTCTGTGAACTCTCAAAAAGAAAGTGTGTGCTTGTGCGAGGCACGTGGCAGGTGCAGTTGGAAGCCAGTTACTCTAGTTTTATCTTCAGTGGGTTCTGATAGAATAATTGTCTGTATCAAACTTACCTACCAATTTTACTTGCTTTCTGAGTGCATATGATATTGAAACAAGGCACCGACCTTGTGTCAATATTGCATGTAACCTCTAAAGTGGAGGTTTTCTTGTGTGCTAATTCATATAATTACTGGCTTTCTAATTAAATAATTTTTTTTGGCAGCTGCAAATTTGCAAACTTTTCCAATAAGCAGGAAATGTGTCATTTCACAGGTCAAGCCCAACAAGTCCTGTCACTGAGACCATGAGAAACCCCTCAGTGGGTGTAATGCCTATTTTTGACATGTGTGAGGTTAAAATGATTGGAATAATACTTTTAATTGCTCTGTAATTAAGGTCCATTGGGAGAAGCAGTAGGGACCTGCAGATATTTTGATAAGGCTAACTTATCCCATCTGACATTAGCCTGGACAGACTGTTAACGCTCTGTGGGAAGCTCTTCGTGGAGAAAGCTGTGGATCTGATAATAATTCAAATCAAAAGTGAAATAAGAATTAAACTGAGCTCACAGGGGCTGTGTGTTATCTGCTTTTGCTTTATCTCATTGTTCAAAGCATAGATCTGCAGAGCGCTGAGCATCTTGCATTCCCATATTTGGGTTTAAAATGGAAGCAGGATTAGATGTATGTTATTTATATGAACGATACCTTCTTACTCAGCAGATTGACTGTCTGTGTTTATTCAGTGTCACATCTGCTGGCTCTACTTGAACAAAAAGTTTCTGGCTCCTGTTGTCTGTCACTGTAGATCCAATACAATAGGGCCAGCTGGAGTCAAGTCTGCCGTATGTATCATCCATAGAGCAGTGAGACAAAATCGGAAACTGTCGAGTCGCTGATGGCAGAACACAGCTGGATTTCCGTATCCCACGTCAAATTTGTGGTGCCGGTGGCCAGAAGACTCTTGCTTTGGATCATGT